GACACTGTTTCCAATTACGCCACTCAACGAGCAATAGCAAACGACCGTTTTTAAAATCGAAAACTCTCTATACAGCAATAGACCACGCAGCACACGTACGTGGCCGCTTGATGAAACGCTCGCTCGCACGAATAACTCTCTCCTTCTTTATGTTTCCCTAGGCCTGAAAAAAAATAAAAAAAAATAGATATGCAGCTGGAATGATACACGATAAAGTGTCAGCAGACGTCATACAGTGTTGTTGGGACGACCGTAACCATCCAAATAGCTTGATGCCCCCGACGCACGCAAACGGGGCGGGGAGTAGGGGAAAAATGTATAAGAAGAGCGAGCATCTCGCAGAGCGTGTATGCATGCATGTTGACGTCGTACACAAGCACATTCGCGTTCACATTGAAATTCCGACAGCGCACTGACAAGAGCGCCACGCCACGCCCGACACGCGGGCGCTCGTGTTTTGTGTTCGCTCTGCGCAGCCGTGTTGCCCGGCTGACTCCTTCATTCTCTTGATTGGCACCGCAGGAAGTGAGACACACACAGAGAGAGCGAGAGCGAGAGAGAGAGCGAGAGAGCGAGAGAGAGAGAGAGAGAGAGAGAGAGAGAGAGAGAGAGAGAGAGAGAGAGACTTACAACGTGGGAGTTGAGGTGGAGACCAGACGAACCAAAATGAAGTCGCAGACCCATAGAATACTTATATCGACCCCGATGCAGACAAATGTATTCGTTGTGTGTTGGTTTGAGAGTAATAATTACTGATCTCATCGAATCTTATATGTCTCTTTTCTGTTTGCAGGACAGCGTCACCTTGCGTGGAATTGTTCTACCTGTTTTTTTTTTACAGAAATTTTAAAATTATCTTTTTGGTTTGGTCGGTTCACTACTTTATACTTTTGGGAGGGTCGTGCACCACACATACCTACCTGCTCATACGCCTGATATTCGCGTGCAAGCGTGCAGCGGCGGGACGCCGGCGCGGCAAGCAAATTTATCGGTAGCGTTGCAGGCATTCATCAAGCACCCCTTCACTCCCCTCTCCATCTCTCGCTCTCTCTCTCTCTCTCGCTCTCTCTCTCGCTCTCTCTCTCACACACACATACACCGCCCCTCCTCTCTCCCACTCCATTATTCAGTAAAAATGGTCAGCGGGCCGGGGCCGCCGCGCTTACATTCTTTTCGGCCTGGACAAAAAGTGAGTGAGGGATGACCCCCTTTTTACTCTCGGTAAACGAGTGCCATGCCTCACCGCCCGCCCCGGCCGCCGCTCGCCACCCCGTCGCCGCTGTGTGTGAAATCAAACATGAAAATTGAGGTAAGAAAACACACACACATGCACACACACACACACACACTCACACGCGCGCGCGCAAACAGGGGAGGGGCAACTATCTCTATCTCACGTCGGTGGGGTGCGGCGAGGGCGCTCTTGTCCACAGCTCCAGCGAGCACCCTCCGCGGCGAGAACTCTCCAGCGAACATTCCCCGGCGAAGAACTCCCTGGCGAGCACACTGCCCGGCGAGCAGTCTCCGGCGAGCACTTTCCAGCGGCGAGCACTCCCCGGCGCTCTCCTATCGGTACAGCCCGGGCGTCCCCGCCTCTGTGGGAGCCACGGTGTACTGGCGGGAGCGCAGCAGCAGCAGCAGCCAAAGAGAAGCAACTCCTCCGCAAGTTGCGGCCGCCCTGATTTTCCCCTTGTCACTGCTTTACTGGAGTGCGCGGGGCTCGCCGGGCGGATGCCACGGGAGAGCCATGCACCACCTTGGTCTTGGTGTGAGACACGCCAACGCCACGTGAGTGGCACATGTGTACCATTTGTTGCCCTATGAGTTCCACTTGATTTTCCACATGCGTTACAAATAAGTTCCACACAAGTTCAATGTACGAGTACCACATGAGTGCCACACGAGTCACAGAATGCCACTTACGGGCCACTTGAGCGTAAGGGCCAAATGACCAAGGCCAAGATGAACGCTATGCCAAGTAGTGTACGAGCCAGCTGTGTGTGTGCCACCCGGTGTCCTACTACACGCGAGTGCCACGCCGTTGTGCCGAGTGCAGGGCGCCTCGGCACCGCAGCGACCACCAGCCAAATCCTCTTCCACCTCCACGGCGAAAGAGGACGGCGACCGGGACGGGGGAGATGCAAGAGGAAGGTGGGGGGGGAGTAAAATCGCGTTGCCGTTCTTTTCGCATGTAGCGTGAGCCGGGGCGGCTCCTTCCTCTCTCTATGGGCTTTGTCACGGGACATCACGGGCACACACAGCCTCCCTTCCCCCAGCCCGACCTTTCCAGGCTGGACCACGGGCGGCGTGCGAAGGCACCAATCCCATGATGGTTCCCAACACACGTCGCACATGGGTACATCTCAACGATATGGGATTCTTACAACGGATAGCAAGTATACGCACTGTGACGTCAGAAAAAAACTGGGGAATCGACAAACGCACGCGCACATCCGCGCGCGCGCGCGTGCGCACACACACACACACACACACACACTCACACGCTGCACACACGCACGCACACTTGGGGGCGGATGGTTCCACGCAACCCGCACCACCACCAGCAGCGGCAGCAGCAGGGCGTAGAGGGTGACAAATGTGCAGTGTACGCGACGCTGGTGCGGCCGGGGCCAGGCAGGGGCGCGGGTAGGGGTAGCCTATTTCAATGGAGGGCTGAGCGGGTACGCCGGCGCTAACGCGGGCGGAATAACTTAGCTCACCCCACCCC